TTGTGGCAGCGTCTTTGTTGCTAATATGTTCCAATGACTTCTGATGACTCATTCAGTACCAAATATTGAAATCCAGATTGACATCCTAGCATAGCTGGAGCACCATCTGTGCAAACACCACAAATCTTTTCCCAAGAGATCTTATGCTCTTTCAGAAATGAACCAACAGTGTAAAATACATTATGTGCAGTATTTGTCATTTCAAGAGGTTTGCTAAAAAAGAAACTCATCTTTAAAGTTGCCATCATTAATATAACTCATGTAAACCAGTAACTATGAACAGTTTGCAACATCTGTAGATTCATCAAGCTGGATGCTAAATATTGGAAGTGAAGCAGATTTAATTTCCTGGATTACCTGATCAAAAATATCAGCAGACATGTCATCTATTTTTCTGTGGACAGTGTCATTAGATAAGGAAATTGCACTCAATTTTGTAACAAATTTGTCTCCGATCATAACTCGAACAATGTCTTTGGCCGCTGGCAACAGTAACTCCTCAGCAATGGTATGAGGTTTCATAGCTCTGACAATTCTGAGTGCCACCAAATATGAAGCTTCTACCTTTTGTTTGAGGTACTTGCCACTAATGTCAAGTCTGGCTTTCTTGAGTCCATCAGCTTTGCTTCTAAAATAGTTGATATCCTTGCTAGCAAAGCTCAGATACTTGCTATCAAAGTGGCGGTTTAGTTTGTTTGACTTCATAAATTTGGCAGATAGACCTTCACAACAAATAACACATTGTGGTTTCTCAATTCCTACAGTAATTATTGAGGCAAAACCATACTGTGAAAAATCCTCACTATATTTTTTTTTCTTAATGTTCTTCTCTACACGATCCATTGTCATGGGATGGTTTGCTAATGAAAATAATACATAACAATAGCTTTAATAATAAAAAGATGATGCATGGCATAGTGTAGTCAATACAGTTCATTAAAGTTTCCTATGGTTTACCATTCTGTTTTGTTTTATTTTTAACATACCTGTTACTATCACAAGGGGGCAGTATTCACATCAACCACAGCTGAATATAAAAAGATCAGTATCCAGATTAAGTTCCCATGATACAAATATTTTCTTTTTGCAGTAGTTGATAATTTTACAGTACATGATTTTACATTTACCCAGTAATTATAATTCATGAAGTGTCATTTTACCTCCAATACTATTGCTTTCAACAGAGTAGCTGCTTTGTAAACAGTACCTGCTCTCTACACATGTGTGACTGGTATGTGATGGGGTTGGTGTGATGATGTCATTATGCCAGGTACTCGTATGTGGGTGTATCTGCATGTGGGTGGATCAGTTTGAAGACAGATAGAGGAGCAGTGTCTCAGTTCCTAAAACCATCAGAAATATGTGTTTTCCGATAGTCTTAGGTGACCTGTGTAAAAGGTTATGACCCACAGGTTGAGAACTGCTGCTCTACTGGGTTTGGATATGTGTGGGAGGACCTATGTTAAACACCACTGTTAAGTCTTACTTTCCTGGCTTTATTTGCAAGCCCAGGAAAGGTTCAGTTATTCTGTAGCTATTTGCCTGGAGGCTATTAGTCTCAGTTACTTGATGAGCCTTGGGTTGTAGCCCTCAACTGAATGAAAAAAATCCCTCAGGTGTTCAGGGTAAGAGAATTTCCAGAGGGTGGGGCAGATGCTTGCTTGCTGCTAATGAGCCTCAATTTGCATTTCTCTGGCTTGGCTGGGTGGTGTTAAATTCTTGAGGGAGGGGCTCTTGCTTCTCCCTGGGGCTCTGGGGCTCTTTGAGTAAAATAGCTACTGTCCTATAGGGTATGATTCAGCACAAAGCTCCCAGTGCCTTCCAAATCTTGAGTCTCTCCACACAGTTTCAGTCCAGTTTGCCCTACCTCTGCTGGAGCCCAAGGTGAGTGGCTATAGCTAATTTAGTGCTCTGTCCAGGCCCTCTGCCTTGTGCAGCCAGCTTGGGATTTTAACCCCAAGGGAGCTGCTCACAGCTAAAACAGCTTCTGTCCATGGGCTTCCAGCCCACCCTCTTGTGTCTCTGTAGTTCCTACCAGGATCAATTTAGTGTTCTTTTTCTGTCCCTGGTTATATGGTTCTTTCCAGCTGCTTTTCTGATGGTTTTTCCTGATGATTTGTCTTTATTTTAGTTGTAATTCCAGTTTGGTCCTGGGAGATATTCTGTATAGCTTCCTTCACTTTGCTACCATTTTGGAATTCCTTACTAATATATAGATTTAAAAGAATGTGCAAAAGCAGAGAATGAAGAAATTCTTTTGTCTGTGAATTCATTCTTTAATTTTGAGACAACGAACACAGACTTCATCACTTCTGCTTGGTTTCATAATGACACAGAACTGCAGAACCTTCTAAGTCACTTCTACCTTCCCCTATAGGCCACTGAGTAAATTCCAGTCCTGTTGGGGTCTGTGATAATGGTCATCTCATCTTTTGTTACTCAAGTCCCTCATTTTAATTTTATTCACTCTTTCTTATTGCTTCTCCATTTTATGTTTCTTTCTTTATGCACAGTGTGAAGTAATCTGTTTTTCCCCCTAGATTTTTATATAACAACTCAACTAATTAATTTAAACTTTCTTTTCATGTGAGTCTTGCTAAAGCTATATATTTCCCTCTAACCACAGATTATATTACATACCACAATTTTTGATATTTTTTACATTTTTTTTATTTAGTTGAAATATTTTCATATATTCTTTGCGATTTCTTCATCTACTGGATTATTTTAGAAATATTTAATTGATTTTCTAATATTTGTGAATAATCTAGTTGTCTTTTTGTTATTGACCTCTGAATTAATGTCCATTGTGGTGCAAAAATATAATTCATATATATATATATCTTTTGAAGTTTATTGAGACTTATTTAATAATAATATTTTTAAATCTCTTGTTTTTTTTTTTTTAATATTTTTGTTGTATTATTTTCATGCTGTACACACTTCACAGTTAAAGCAAGAGTGTTTAGGTGTTTTACTATTATTAGTTGGTAATTGAGATGCCTCTATAATTTCTTTAAAATTATATTTAAAAACAGATTTTATTTTATCAGTAATAATGCTGCTTCTGAAAAATGCCAAATATGCAAAGTATGTTCTGTTTATAAATTAAGAAAAAGATACACTATTTTATTATTTTCAAATCAGAACACTGTATATTGTTGTCAATGCTTAGCAATTTTGTGGTGAGGAAATAAATGTTTGAAAGGTGATTAAAACAGTAGTATCCTAACTGATGTCTGTATTATTGAGATGGAGTTTGTATTTATATTTGGCTGCAAATAACAGAAAACCCAAAGTAATAATGGCTTAAGCCAAAGAAAAGGTTTTTGTATTTTTATGTTTTTATTTTAGAAAATTGTTTTAATTTCTAAACATTCTATTAATTGTGTGGCATTTCACACTATATTTTCACATTGATTTCTGCATATTGGCTTACATTTCCAAGATAATGTCATAATTCATGATGGAAGCTGTAACTGCAAAATTAAATTAACCAAGTTTATAGTTACCAATGGAATAAAGGGTCACATAAAGCATGGCTGTCAACATTACCTCCTAGATCTTAAATTTATAGCTTCATTTAAAGCCAATCATCTAACCTTATATCTGCCCACTCCTAACTTTACAAAAAGCTAAAAATGTAGGCATTTCTACAAGGATATTATATATTGAACTGAAAATCAGAGGTTCTATTATTATTGTTATTATTTTTTTAATGAAAAAATGGGGAATGGGAATATCCAGAAAATCCATGCAAAGATTTAAACTGCAAATAATTCTCCCATTGGATATAATTATGATTGATCTTTTCTTGTAATGAAAACATTAATTTATTACCAGAAGATGTATGGACCATTTTGCACTTTGCATTGCCTGGTTCTCAGTAATGTTAAAGTTTCTATTGCTTTCTCAACTTTTGATTTCTGGCATTTAGATAGAAGTCATCTGAACTGTTGGCAATGTAATAATAAATGTATTCATTATTGTTGATATAACTGAAGAGTATATTTAAGCAGAATGTGACAACAACAAAATATCAAAACTGGTAGTTTGTTCAAAACTCTCTAATTAGTAGCCCTCATGGGAATAACAATTTTCCTGTAATAATCTGAATGACTAGGACTCTATGGCTTTAAAAGTCAATAACTTCATATTAGTTATATTTGCTATCAAATTATAGACCTTCATGATTATATTCTCTTTACTTGTTAATGCTATCCAGAATAATAAAAATTATAGTGAAACATTGGCCCAAAATCTATACAGTTTTAACCATACACTCATTAATTTTTTTAAAATAATCATTGAGCTCTTATCTTTGTGCTAGTGAACAAAACAATTAAAAATACCTTTTCTCCTAGAGCTAAAAAATGAATAGAACTAATAGATAATTAATAAATAATTAATATTTTAGTTTTTGATACATATTTTGAAGAAAAATTAGTGTCACTAAGGGAATAAAGAGTAAGAAAGGAGTGGCATGCTACACAGGTACTTATAGATGTCACCTCTGTGTGAACACTGAGTAAAGAATTTGGTATTGGACCCTGCAGTTTAGACGGTACATTTGAGTTAGAAAAACAAATATCTGAGTTGTTAGGTATTGGTGTTATTTAAAACCTATAACTTAAAAGGATTGCCTATGAGTAAATATAAAGAAGTGGAAAAGCCCAGTCTCTTTTGTTAATGCAAGGGTATTACGATATTTGGAAGTCATGAAAGGAAAAGGAAGCCAAAATGAAACAGAGATGGACCACTTTATGAGGTAGGAGGTGTAAGAGAAAATGGTGTCACAATAACTATAAGTCCCAATAAAATTGTATTGATTAATTATTCAGTCCTACTGAAAATATTTAATATGAATTTGTGCACAGCTGACACTAACAAATTTAAACATTTTGTCTGTTGTGGAATGTTATTAAATAGCTTTATTCTCAAGCTAGGCAGTTTATGGATGCAATGATTACATAAAAAGTTGAACTTTAATGTATTTTTAGTCATTCCAGCGGTGTGAAGACCTTTAGTAAGTGCAGCATGGAAGATTTTTTACATTTTATTTCAAAACCAAACTCCCAATGTCTTGAAAATCATCCACTGTTAGATCCATCATACAAAGCTGCAGTTTGTGGTAATCAAATAGTGGAAGAAAAAGAAGAATGTGACTGTGGGACTCAGGAGGTTGGTACTAATTTGAAGGAATACATACCAGAATTACATCAAAAGTAATTACTTTTTATAGTGTTTCACTGTTATTTTTCATAATTGATCAAATTTACTTTTCTACAAAGACTTTAAGAAAGCATATAGGGATTTTAGTAAACTAATTAGTGTGCTTATATATTAATGTACAGATTTAGTGGTTTGTAGATTATCTGTAAAAGTGATTGTCAAGATCATTAATCCTATGGCTGGGTTGACCTAATTTTAAGCTGCCCCTCTTGTATATATCCTTGTATTTATTCTTAACCTAAAATCCTCTACCATTCAGAAAGAGGTTTTAAAATTGAGTAAGAAAACATAGGAGGCATATTTCTGGCTTTCAGTATTTTAATCCAAGTCAATACTTCAGTCAAAAGATTTGGGCCATACATAATCCATAAAAGCTGGTTTTCAAACTCACAGAAATCTTACAAATAGCTTCTGGATCAGAAGGAGGTGATAAGAGAAGAGATAAGGGAATGCAATGAGGGAAGGAGAGGTTGAGACTCACAGTGAGTGGTATGAAGATGAGAAAATCAAGAAGACATGAATGGAGATCAGTGTTCCCTACTGCAATAGCTAAGGTCATTCATGTGTACTCTCCTCAATATGAAAAGTGTGTTTTTAGATAACTAGTTGGGAGATATGCTTTTAAGGAATTATTCTCAGCACTCACCTGTTTCTTCTTGTTTGGATCTAATGGAAGCACCTTGAAATTTCTAATAAAAATTGACAGTAGTGTTCTTTGGTTCTATTAAATATCATGTAATTGAGTCCAAAGCCCTGTTATATAATTTAACCTGCTGGAATCCCCTATAGATAGCAATAACAATAGATATAGATTAGGCAGAATAGTTCTGGAAAATAATGAAAATTTAGTGTGCCCTACTAAGTATCATGCTATGAATCATATAGATCACTGAAATATATTATTTATATTTGTGTAACTTATTTAAAACTGACTCAATTAACTTTTTAAAAAATTCTTGGGAATTTAAAAAATTGTGTGTGTGTGTGTCTTTGAATGTATCATTTCTCCAACTTTCTTCTTATATGTTGCTTTTATTAAGCCTAATAATAGAATGGAAAAGAAACATAATCATTCAGCATAGATGAATTACAGCATAAAATACACGGCGTCATGAAATAGGGATGAGTGATGTAAACGTGACAATTTCAGTCATGTTGAGAAATATTTTCTAGGTTCTTCATCTTTAGAGAAAAGTAAATAAGCTTTGAATATCTCATAAAAGTTATTGACTTATTGAAATACAGTACGTTCATAAAGATATGAGTAATACTAGTCACTCCAATAAAATTTGTAAGTTGTGACTTTCATTTCATGTCATAATTTAACTGTCCCTGTCTACAAGAGCCAGGAAGCTCCTGGAGGCTGGCTTTGGTGGCCTCCAGGAATTCAGAAAATCCTACTACCAATATAGTTAAACCTACTCTAGGGATATAGACAAGCTAGCACATTTTAGGTAACTAATATAATTTTGTTAAATGCATGAATAAATAAGTAGGTGCAATTTTTTGTTTGCCAACACGTATGTTAAGTATCTGTCTATATGATGTTGATATCATTAAAAGATGTACCCAATGTTGCCCTGGTAGATTTGGCTCAGCGGTTAGAGTGTTGGCCCAAGGACAGAAGGGATTGAGGATCTATTCCTGATCAAGGGCACGTACCAAGGTTGCAGGATCCATCCTGGACCCACTCAGGGTCATGTGGGAGGCAAACAATTGATGTGCCTCTCTCACATGATGTTTCTCTCTCTCTCTCTCTCTCTCTCTCTCTCTCTCTCTCTCTCTCTCCCCACCTCCCTTTCACTCTATCTAAAAAAATCAAGAGAAAAATATCCTCAAGTGAGGATTAACCAAAAAAAAAAAAAAAAAAAAAGGTACCCAATGTAAATAAAAGTTGGAAGAGCATTGGTTTTTCTTTCAGCAATGTGCTCAAACCCAAACGAATGCTGTGTGTCTGGCACGTGTAAATTAAAAGCAGGTAACAATTGTGACAAAGGACCATGCTGCACAAGTTGTCATGTAAGTCTTCTTAAAATTTCTATATTACCTATATAAGTAAAGTTATCATTCTTTATAGTATCTATATGTTTACTTTCTGCTTATTCAATATATTTAACTCATCCATCAGTTTACAGAAAAAGGACAATTATGCAGGAGTGCCGTTGATGAATGTGATCTCCCTGAATATTGCAATGGATCTTCTGCATCATGTTCAGATGACTTGTATGTTCTAGATGGTTTTCAATGTGATGAAAACAAATGGATCTGCCTAAATGGAGTGTGTAACAGTTTGAAACAACAATGTATGGCTATATTTGGTAAAGGTATTTATTATAATTTGATTTCCTGTATATGCATTTTTCTAGAACCTGAAAAGAAATAGATATTGATATATAATAGTGATTTTATTTTTATTATTATTTTTTTTGGTATGTGCCCCTAGAGGGAACTGAACCCGGACTCGCTAGTCCGCAGGCCGACGCTCCAATCGCTGATCCAAACTGTCCAGGGCTGATTTTTATTTTATTATTTTTTATTAATTAATTTATTTATTTTTGTTACAGATGTTTCTCTTTGTCCCCCCACTGATTCCACCCTCGCCCTCCCTCCGTGACCTGTCCCCAGCTTTGTTGTCTATGTCCATTGCTCATGCATACATGCATATAAGTTCGGTGGTTTTTCTCTCCCCCAACACACCCTCTTCTGGGGATTGTCAGTCTGTACCCCACTTCCATGTCTCTGGGACTACCCCATTCCTTAGACTGTTATGTTCATTATATTCCACAAATAAGTGAGATCATATGATACTGTCCTCTGTTTGGCTCCTTTTGCTTAGGATAATACTTTTCGGGTCCCTCCATGTTGTCTCAAAGAATAAGAGATCTTTCTTTCTTACAGCTGCATAGTACTTCATTGTGTATATGTACCACTGCTTTTTTATCCATTCATCTACTGATGGACATTTGGGCTGTTTCCAGATTTTAGCTATTGTAAGTAGTGTTGCTACAAACATGGGGGTACATATATTCTTTCTGATTGGTGTTTCAGGCTTCTTAGGGTATATTCCTAGAAGAGGGATCACTGGGTCAAATGGAAGTTCAATTTTTAATTTTTTTGAGGTAACACCATACTGTTTCCATAATGACTGCACCAGTCTGCATCCCCACCAGCAATGTACTAGAGTCCCCTTGCTCCACAGCCTCGCCAACACTGGTTTAATAATTTGTGATGGTGGCCATTCTGACAGGTATGAGGTGATGCCTCATAGTTGTTTTAATTTGCATCTCTCTGATGATTCGTGATGTTGAGCATTTCTTCATATGTGTCATAGCCATTTGTATGTCCTGTTTGAAGAGGTGTCAATTTAGTTCCTCTGCCCATTTTTAATTGGATTCTTTGTCTTCCTTTTGTTGAGTTGTATGAACACTCTATATATATTGGAAATTAACCCCTTATCTGATATCTCATGGGCAATTATGCTCTCGCATACAGTTGTAGCCTTTCTGTTTTGATGATTGTATCTTTCGCTGTGCAGAAGCTTTTGAGTTTGATGTAGTCCCATGTGTTCATTTTTCCTTTGTTTCTGTTGCCTTAGGTGATGTATCACTGAAAATTCTGCTGTGTTATGATGTCTGAAATTTGTTGCCTACAGTTTCTTCTAGGACTTTATAAATTCATGAGTCACATTTAAGTCTTTTATCCATTTTGAGTTATTCTTCTGTATGGTATAAGTTGCTGGTCTAGTTTCATTTTTTGTTTATTTGTTTTGCATATAGCTGTCTAATTTCCCCAACACCATTTATTAAAGAGGCTGTCTTGACTCCACTGTATGCTCTTGCCACCTTTGTCAAATATTAATTGAGCATATTGCCTTGGGTCCATTTCTGGATTCTCTATTCTGTTCCATTGATCTATCTGACTGTTCTTGTGACAGTACCAGGCTGTTTTGATTATAGTGGTTTTGTAGTTATAACCTGATATCTGGTATTGTGATCCCTCCAACTTTGTTCTTCTGTTTCAAGATTGCTGTGGCTATTTGGGGTCCTTTTGGTTCCATATGAAATTTTGAAGTATTTGTTCTAGTTCTGTGAAGTATGTCATTGGTATTTGATGGAGATTGAATTTGAATCTATAGATTGCTTTGTGTAGAATGGACATTTTAATTATGTTAATTCTTCCAATACATGAACAAGGTATGTGCTTCCACTTTTTTATATCTTCCTCTATTTCTTTTTTTAATGACTGTAGTTTTCTGTGAAATAGGTCCTTTATTTCTTTGGTTAAGTTTATTTCTAGGTATCTTAATTTTTTTTGCTGCGACGGTAAATGGGATTGTTTTTTTCGTTTCTCTTTCTGTGAGTTCATCATTGGTGTATAAGAATGCCATCACTTTCTTGACATTAATTTTGTATTCTGCTACTTTTGCTGAATTCATTTATTAAGTCTAGTAAATTTTTGATGGAGTTTTTGGGGTTTTCTACGTATTGTATCCAGTCACCCTGCGAATAATGACAGTTCACTCCTCCTATTCCATTTGGATCCCTTTTATTTTTTTCTTCCTGTCCAATGCTGTGGCTAAGACTTCTTAGTACTATGTTAATAAGAGTGGTAAAAGTGGGCATCCTGTCTTGTTCTGTTCTTAAGGGAAATGCTTTTAATTTTTACCCTTGAGTATGATGTTGACATCTAACTGATTGTTACCAATAATGCAATTAAGTATTTTAAAGAATTACAAAAGAGAAGAGGAATACTAAAGGTAAAAAATCATTAAAAGTTGTCTGGGAATACAACTCTGATGTATTCCCATAAAAGATTAAGGGAAATTATTTAAATCTATGAGATATGCATTCAAGAAAGAAGAAGGCAGCCCTCGCCAGTTTGGCTCAGCAGTCAGAGCATTGGCCTGTGGACCAGAGAGTCCTAGGTTCTGGTTCCTGCTATGGGCACAT